CACTTGACCGCATTCATTCAGCCTCAGCAATGCGTCTACACTCATAGACACACATACACACACACATACACACACACCAAATGAAGCACGAGGAAGCAAGTCACAGTTTAATGTACCAAATGCCATCCGCCTCCCCGGCCAGGGTTGACAACAGTGACCCAGCCAACATAGGGGCAGCAATTATGAGGCTAAGTGAGGAAACCGTCCGTGTGTAAGATGCCCTGAAGTCGGAAGGATGATTTCAAGACCGCCTTCAAAAGAAGCCGGTTTCGCAGGCCAGCTCATTGCCATGGGCCCATTTATGCAGACACCAGACAGATGCATAGACAGCGGAATGAATGGTGTTAAGCTCAGTCATACAGACCTACACTCAATGCTCATTTGGACTGACTTTTCTACAAATTTCTTCTCTCGTCTCAGCCTCTATCACAGCTCAGGAAGGACGGGCTGTCGAGGGATAAGGCGTAAGCAGATAGAACTACTAAAAATAGGCTCATGCCAAGTCATAGAGACTGGTCCTACATGAACAACCGCTGCCGCTTGGAAGCAGGACATGAGTCAGCTTTCCGTAGGACTGGGCTGTCTCTCTCATACTGTCAGTTTGTTGGTCATTTGGTCAGTTGGTCATTTGGGCAGTTGGTCAGTTGGCCAGTTGGTCAATGAGGGAGGTAAGAGAAACGGAACAAATTACGAGAATTCGTCTATCGCCCCAATAGTTAGTCAAGGAAACAAGGCCTACCACACAACAACGGCTACACCCGACTGCACCAGGTAGGATATATTCCATGCGAGATGATGATGATGATGATGACCATGTTTCGGCTACGTCTGCATGTATACTGCATACTGTATTTCCTAAATGACCAACAAACCTTGCTTATCACCACGACGATCTGGTGCATCGCTCGTGGGCATCACAGTCTATACCAAGCTAGGACACGACTCAGAGCATCAGAATCGAAAACAAGTGAGACTTTTCATGGACAGTAGAGAAGGTACTATCATTATTGGACGGTCTAACGGCAAACTACGGAGCACTCAACATTCCATCTTCATCATTTGAATTCTGTAGTCATATAGCAATAATCTGTGCAACTACTTGTTCATATTGACACTCAACTAGTCCAAAGGGAAGCGCATCACTAAAATAAATTGAATCGTACTGATATTTAATTAGACGGCTGGTAAGCAACACGCCTAGTTCCATCACTTTATAGAAGCCTGTGATGTCGTCCAAGTACTTATTTTGCTGTCCCGGTAGAAGGCCGCAGAACTTCTAAAATAGGACATTTTTATATTTCAATTAGTGCTACTGAATTCCGACATAAGTAGTTGGTCATGGAATGTTTTATTAAGTTGCGTGAATATCGCCGTGAGGAGCACTCAGTGGTGCATAGAGCTAGAAATTATAATGACTTTGTTCTCTCCACTCTTTAACTAGGTTAAATAACGATTATGATATGGAATCAGGAGGCGAACCTGAAATTCGCATTTCAGGTGACGAGGGAAGATGTGGTTGAATTATCTTCCGTCATATATATATATATATATATATATATATATATATATGTATATGATATCTTTTAGGAAAGCAAGTTTATGTGGAATGTAATAGAAATGTAAGTTCTACTCATATCAACATGGTAAATTTCACTCACCAGCCCTTTTGTCACCTTTGACCAAATAGGGTGAATAATCTTATATATATGATCTATTGGCAGTCTAGAAAACCTTCTTATACAACAAAAGTGAAATTCTCATTTGGCTGGGTTAGTTGCCTTACTGTGTCTCTGGATAAATAGGCCAAACGACGTATCATTCGATTGAAGTAACGCTTTCCACAAATGAGAGGCAAACATGCTATACGATGAAGTTGGGAAGACACGACCTTAAACCTTTGCTTTATACATAATAGTGAGTCTGACCTGATTCTCGCAAATGAGTCATTATTTCAGGATGAATTCAAATAACGTAACGGATAGTAGACCATCTGTAATTGTTTTCCTTAGATAAATAGCATCTACTTTAAATGCAGTCAATAAAAGTATATTGGAGACACTGAAATAACCATTGTGTTAAGAAATTGAGAGCAGCAGAATCATGGAAAAATTGGAAACTATCCACAAAATCTACTCTAACGCAAGCGTATCTGTATGCGAGAAATATACAGAGGAACAGAGATAAGGGAAGCCGCCGAAATTGTATATCAAAAGAAGCTGATTATCATGTTGTGGTGCCCTCCATTTCGTTTAAAGAGGCAAGTAGAAGGGTTTTGTAAGTTGACTCCACCGGAAGCCGAAGGAGGATTACTTTGGGGCTATGAATATAGCTTTAGGCAAATAAGTCCTCTACTCACCGTCCCAAAACCCAGATGAATCCTTGCTGAGTTTTCACCCATCATATGAAGGACATCGCCATAGTAGAATACCATACTTTACGATAACTCGTCAACCGCAAAGACAGGAATTACCCCAAATCATGGTATCGAGCTCCAAGTATCTCCATCACATGACGGACGTAAGCTCAGCAACGATTCGTCCGGGTCGCGGGACGGTGGGCCTAGGACCTTATTAATACAAATCTACATTCAAAGCTCCAAGGCCTCCGTTTTAGCCAACGTACGAATCCATCCCGCTCTTCAAACGAAATGAAAGGTACTCCAATATCACTCTACCAATGGATTCTTCGAAAACAAGCTATTCTACATGCATAATGAACATGTGTTTGATCGTAGTCCATTAAGTCAATGCTTAACCGTGCCCTCGAAGTGGATAAAAGGAAGGAGTAAAGTTACACAGGCATGGCACAGAATACACGAATAAAAGTTGTCCTTAGAAATATCGTCGCTTGAGAATCGTGGATCGATGACGGCGGCTTCTTCTTGGCTAACTGTTGTTTGGCTTTACTGAAACATTCTTGTTGTCGCTTTCGCCTAGTTAACTTCCATCAGTTCCGATTAAATTGTGACGAACTTTCGTATGTCATATGCCAGATATTACCGGTGCTGGGTACGATTCTTACGAAAAATGCAAGCTAGCGAGTTAGGAGGGTGGGAGAGGATGAAAACTGTGAAATCGTGTTTCTGCATCAAATGCTGCCTTAAAGAGTAACAAGCGTGAGAATCCGGATTTTGGAGCCGGCCTCTGTGACGTTCTCATCCGCCACGGCCTAGCATGCGTTTAGAGCATGTGAGAGAAATTCGATTCAAGGTTCCGGGTTGGAGCAAAAATCCCTACACACAGGCTGGGCAATCCGATGTAGAAAGAGGTCTTGTGTGAATTCATTGGAACGGGGTGGAAGGAAATATAGATCTATGAGATGTACCAATACATGGGGAAAGAGAAGTGGCGCAACCGTTCAGCAGAAAGTTGGTCAAGGGGGGTTGTCCATAATTGTCACTTTCCCGAGGTGTAACGAGGTCAAGCCAACTCGTTGTTGATTAGAGTTTGATGAAAATCAGCCACAGTGAAGACCTAATTCACCGGTACAGCTAGCCTGCAGATGAAGAAGAAAAGCGCATGTTAGAAGATAAGGAGGAAATATGCCTTAGATTGTACTGTAAACAAACTGAGAAGAAGAATTAAAAGTGCATGCTTTAACACTTACTCGTCAGCGAGATTGGTTTTATTCCCATAGGCCACCTGAATCCCTCTCTACTCGTCCGATACCTTATCATTAATCAAGTTACATGTAATTGTGGTCACGGCAACGTGGGCAGCAGTAAGTGAAGACTCGCTCGTCGTCTAAGCTAACGTGTGATAAAATAGATGCTAAAGGAAAAGAGGGGTTTGACGAATAGTGCGTTTATATAACCTCTTGATGAGTCCCGACAACGGGAATTGTCTGGGAGAGCATCTGGGACGATCGGCAAACCTAAGCACAACTTCGCTTTCCCAGCCCATAATGGAGGCGGGGGCCATTGAGGCTGAAAATACTCTCAATTTGTGCACAAAAATAAACATAAACTCGCGAGATCTGAAGGAAATGCGGAATTTTGTCGAGTATCTAGGTGTGTTAATTTAACCAAGGAGTCGATCGCATTTTGATAGGACTTTAAGTGATCCAAGCTTAGAAGGCTAATTATGCTCATTCAAGCAGAAGAAGAAGATAAGTAGAAAGTGGTAAAAAAGGTACTTCAAATTATGGCAAGCTTGGTCCAAAATGTAAATTATTCAAGTGGTAAGTTAAACAAGTAGCCTCTTCTTGCCCATCATACTTTGAAGAGATACCGCATTCTCATCCATCAATGACTGCAATGCAGTCTGCTGAATTAAAATCCATAGACTATCGTCTATAATCAAAGATCCTGGCCAAAAGATAATATAGATCAATGAGAAATTAATTTAAGTATGGAATATTTTATCCTTTCTCCTTAGAATTGTAGCCTTTTTTGCTTGCAGAGTAGGAGCCGTCATACTTTAGCCTTCATACCTGTCTTCGCGTCCATTGATCTGTCATCTGAGGGCAACGGGGTTGCCCACAGGCTTCATACTCTAACTTCAAATCGTTCTAGGAGTGCTGCCTAAGCTTGGGCGTGATCAAAATCGAGGTAAAAGAGATGCATTCGGAGGTAGCAGGTAAAATGAGCTTCATTGGCAAATCAAGCCACTCATTTAAGGGCAGATGGGTAACTAACCTATCAATGCCTGGAGAAAGAGGGCACTGACGAAATATAGTCACTTAAGGAATAATATTATCAGACTAAAAAGTTAATGAGCTACAACGAGATTTTTCACTCATTCAGTGAACATTGTGTTGGAAAATTACAATCAAAGTAAAATAACATATGCTAGTATCTAAGTTAAAAAAATACGTAGCCACGGCACATCAAGAGGAAAGACTTTTCGGAAAAATTGACCGATCGTGTTAAGTTGCTTTCAATACAAAGAGTTGATAGGTTTCGATAAATCTTGAGATAAAAGTTTAGCGAAGACTTTCTTATTTCGTATAAAAGTGGAAGAGTTAGAGATTCGTCGGTTATTGTCGTCAAAAGGCGGCGAAAGACACTCAAATATGACAAATATGACATTCAAGTTGACACAGTCCACAAGATTTCCCTCCTCGTTTAAGGTGAAATCTAGCTAAGCTTTCGTCCATCATATGACGGACATCGTC